GGCTCCCTAGTATTCATGATCTTCCATTAAAAAAATTCTGGCACTAGTACACACCAGCTACTACATGGCTGAAACTTTATCAACTAGCAAAATCCATGATCTATATGTTCTACAATGAGAATGGATCCTTACACAAAATCAATACGTTATATATTAAAAGACATGAATGTCTGCATCAAGACAGAAATGAGAAAGTGGAGCACATGAGGAAGTGCAGGTATCCTGCCTTTAATTCCTTCGGTCTGCCCCCCAGTTTCCCCTTGACGCAATCCCATGCCAGAACACGCTCTCTGTGCGTAGCCCTCACAGCAGCCCTCTCTCATGGCCCATTCCTTCACATTCTGGCCACCTCATGGCCTCTGAGAGCCTGCACTGGGTGACCTGGGGGGCAAGTTGACAACCCCCACTTGCATGAGCCAGGCCAGTGCTGCAATGGCAGAAGCATGCAAGAGACTTGGTGCCTGACACACACTGGCCATGGCATGGTTATGTGGCTGGGGATGAACTCTGAAGTCGCCAGAGCTTCGTCCTCAGAGCTATGCTGCTGCAGAAGCAGACCATTCCCGGCTCCAGTAGGCTACATGAGCCAGGCAAGGCCTATTACCTGATGAGAGTGGCAAATGGTGTGACCACTGTTCATTATTCCCTGACCAAAGAAAGGCCACTCATCACATTCAAAGGAAGTAAAAGCAGAACTATGGAAAAAAAAAAAAAAAGATATAAATGTGAAAGAAAATATAGGATCATTCTAAAATAATCTTTAGTTTCCCAGCTGTTGTTTACTGTGTGGTTTGTTTGAGGCCCACCATGTACAAGAAAGCTTTAGCCATCTGCTAATGACTTATAAGGAATGCAGTTTCCGGTTTTGGATTACTTTTCTGAAATTCCCCTCACTCAGTGATTCTGGCCTTTAACTTCTAGCCTCTACTGGTATTTCCAAACTCTTCCTCGGTTTCTTTGACCTAGTAAGACCGTTGTGGTTGGATTCTTTTGCATTACGATTTGAAAAGTACCTTAAAGGAAAAAGCCAGAATGAATGCATTGCTCTTTCTGACTCGTTCCTTCTCTGCAGGGCTACAGTTTCTTAGATCCTTCCCATGCTGATCCTGCTTGTGCTGATTGTTCCCACTGCCTTCAAGCTACATGTTTTGCTCAGATTTTAAAGATATTTGGGGAGGGCAGGCTAATCCAAAGTAAGTAGTCAGGCCCAGAATGGAAACATATTATGAAAGTCTCTTGGTTTCTTATTTTATGATTCCTTCCTTTCACCTTTAAACATTCCATCAACAGTTATCTTACTATGTATCTGATGACATTCCACAGGTGATTAATTTATATTGTGTCTCTATGATACCAGTATCTGATGTTTTTCACATACTTAATCTGTTTCTGCTAGCTCATTCATCTGCATGGCTTCCTATGTATTAGGAGATCTTTCCTTAATTAATTTATTTATGTGTGTGTGTGTGTGCGTGTGTTACCAGTGATTGAACTCAGGACTCTGCTCTTGCCAGGCAGGTGCTTATTCTACTAAGCTATCTCCTAGGCCCCTCCTTATGTAGTTGAAGCTCATGTTAGGTTTACTATGGAGGAATCCATATGTGTCTGGAGATGATTACAGCTTATGTCTAGATATCCCTCCAAAGCCTCATGCACTCATAGGTGGGGCTTTGGGGAGGTGAGTGCATCCAAAGTTTTACAGCTGGGTGTGAAGCCCAGTGGAACAGGTGGCTCAGTGTGGGCATGGCCAGGCAGGGTCTGTCTCTTTCCTCCTCTCTTGATCCCTCTTTTCTTCCTGCCGGCCATGCCTTGAGTTCCTTCTGCCACACTTGCCCAGCTGACTGTGGACTGAAATGTCTACAAAGTGTGAGCCAAAATAAAGCATTTCTTCTTTAACTTGTGGATGTCAGGTATTTTGTCCCACTAATGTGAAAGTAACTAAGACAGAGATTGGCTTTTGAATGTGGTATGATCCTAGAAGTTCAAATTGAAGATGTTTTCTCTAGAAGTTGTGTTGGTATTTGCTCAGAAGCAGACTGTGTTACTGATCAGAGAGATACTACCTCAAACTATTTTTTTGAAAATTATTTCTCAATTATTCAGTGTCTTTTTCTGGCCTAGCTTTTACTTTTTCTGATTTCCTTTTTTTAAGATTTTATTTTATGTATTTAGAATAGGGTCTACAGGGTAGATCAGACTTGTAGTGATCCTCCTGTTTTCAGCCTCCCAAGTGCTAGGGTTACAGGCACATGCCACCATGTCCAGTCTCAATCAACATCTCAGTGCACCCCAGGGCTGGGGCCAGCACCACATGCTGGGGATTGAACCCTGGGCCCTGTGCCTGCCTAAGCAGGCACTTTAGTCCTCTGAGCTATCTGGCCAGTCCCAATTTCTTGATTTTTTTTTCTTTTTTCTTTTCTTTTTTTTTTTTTTTTGGTAGCAGGGATCGAACTCTGGACCTTGTGCTTGCCAGGCAGGCACTTATGCCATAAGCTATCTTCCCAGCCCCCTGGCCCCTGATTTCTTAATAATGGTTCTTTATATGAAGCACAAGGCCAAACACAACATCCAGTTTTGACTGGGTGATAAAAGAGTCAGTACTGCTTTAGTGTACAGCGTTAAGTACACGGCTGCTTTTCGTAAGCAGGTAAGAAGAAGCTACAGCAGGGAAAGGAGGTAAAAGTGTGTATATCAAATACTGAAAAGAACATAAAGTTGTTATTTATGGAATCAACTATGTAAGTTCTAATATGTAATTCTGTTTCTTCTTTGATATGATAATTTAAAAATTTAACCAGAAAATTTAAAAATTCAAAATGGAAACAAAAAAATTAAAAATTAAAATAACGAGTTAAAAAATGGAAACCAAAAAAAAAAACCAAAAACACTGTACCTTATAAAGAGACTTACAGCTACATGTCTGGTTGTACTTACTCCCTCTGTCAACAGTTTTGGTCCTGTTTTCTCCCCAAAGATTGTTGGATCATTAAATCTCATCCCACCCCACAAAATCTGTTTGCTGTTATATTCCTCCAATCTACTTTTCTTTTTTAATTTTAGTTTTTTATTAGAATGTTTTTATGATAAATGTTCATCTTGGAGAGTTGGTATATACACCTTGCATCTTTATTTTTCTGTCCTTTTATTATTATTTTTTTTAATGTATTTGGTTGTTACAGGGTCTCACTATGCAGTTCTGACTTGTAATGATCCTCCTGTTTTCAGCCTCCCCAGTGATTACAGACGTGAGTCACTCACTACCTGGATTCCATCCCCAGCTCTGTGTTCCCAGGACGGGGCAGCATGTGGTGCCAGGGATCAAACCTCGGTCCTGTGTTTTTCTGTCTTTTTTAAACAAGATCTCACTATGCAGTTCAGATTAGCCTTACACTCACTTCGTAGCCCAGGCTGGCGTCAACCTTGAAGTGATTCTCCTATCTTGGCCTCCAGAGTACTGAGATTACAGGGGTGGGCCACCATGCCCGCCTTCTGCATACTGCATCTTAATAATTTTAAACTTCCTCTTTCCCACAAGCTTCGCTGCCTGTCCTTCCCATCTCCCACACTCATCTCCAAATGCCTTTCCTGTCTCAACAAAGTTTATCTCCCTGTTTCCTATCATCTTTCATTTTGCTCTTTAAATTATTTATATTTTAGGGTTTTCATATTAAAGAAATAAAGATATTTAACTTTTTGCATCTCATTTATTTCACTTAACATCATGGTCTCAAGGTGCATCTGTTTTTCTATAAATGACTCAAAGTTTCAACCTACATTTTTGAAGTAAGCTTTATACCTAAATGGATCACAGTGAAGAAACTAAAGGGTATCAAATTCTTAATATTAGGGCCATTCTCAATCTAAACTGTTTTTTAATAAGTTAAATGGAGCTATTTCTCTTGAATGAATAATTTTACTAGCTGACAAGCCTAGGTGAGAGGTTGCAAATAGGCAGAAGTTAAATTTGAGATTGAAAATGGGGAGATTTTTAAAAAATTACTATAATAAAAAGCAAATTCAGGAGAAGTAACTTTGGAAATAACCTGACAGACCTTGCAGATGACAGCCTGTAACCAGCATATCCCGTTGTGTATCTTAATGTCAGCCTCTTTTCATGTGTTCAATGAATGAAAAGGTGTTTTTCTAACCCCTCAATTAATCAGCCTTATCTGGCCACATTTTTTAGTGGGAAATAACTCTAATAGTTTCTGGTAGATCCAACTCATTTTGACTGCTTTTTATTCCAAAACCCTGGAAGTCTAAAATAACAACAATAAAACCCACCAGGTATTTGGAAATATATCTTATAGATCAACATTTTAAGGAAGGGAAAATCTTTTTCAGGCAAATATTTAACTTAGGGGCTTTCCATTTCCCATATCTTTTGATGATTTTAATCTTAAAAATCTGAATGTTTTGACAATGCCTTTAAAAATTTGTAATCATTGATACTGGCAATATAATTATAGGTTTTTAAAGACCTTAGTATGCACTCAGAAAATGAATTTCTTTCTGGAAGCATACAAGGCATATATTTCAAAAGAGACTGAAGTTTTTTTATGATAAAAGTAACAAATCATTAAGGAAGAAATGTTTAAACAGTGAAAAGTACAATTCAATGTATTTCCAATACCCAAACACAACCAATATCAACATTTTTGTGTATTTACTTTTAGTATTTATTTTTCTCTATACACAAATTTTTAATTCACATCAGTCATAATGTACATATAATGTTCTTCCTTTTTTTTTTCCTGCTAAACCTTGGATAAATGCCAGGGAATTAATTCCATTTCTTGAGGAATCTGGATAAGTAAATATAGCCACTGCTAGTGATTTGTGCTATACTCTCTGTTTTAAAAACTGCTTTTAAAGAAAGCATGAAGACTTACAGCCATGTACTTGTGATTTGTTCATTACCTGACAGTCAGATAGTCTCAATAATCAACTACAAAATATCACCCAGTGGGTTCACTCCTCAAGGTTACCTCACTTCTCACCTTTTGAGCTGCGAGGTGGAGGGCCGTTCTCTGGCTGTGGTCAGTTTTATTGACATCTGCTCCTGCCTTTAGGAGAGCATCAGCACAGTCCAATCTGTCGGCCAGCACACAGTACATAAGTGGTGTCCGCCCAAACTGGTCTTCTTTGTCTTTAAGAGCAGGGTTTCCTACACAAAACAGTGG